CTATAATTGGCACCAGAACAAAGAAACTACATATGAACAGATTAGATAGCACCTTAAAGTCAAACACGATATTTAAGTTCACTCAGAGCTGGACAACACTACTCCACACAAACATGACCAGTACCTATGAATTCTGCTCAGGGTGACCATAGTGGTGGTTAGAGAGTGTGTGTGTGTGTGTGTGTGTGTGTGTGTGTGTGTGTGTGTGTGTGTGTGTGTGTGTGTGTCAAAGATCCCAGTACAGAAGCCGGTCTTGGAGGCGATTGGGTAGTGCAGAGTTTGAAGCACCAGTGAATGAGGAGAGTGCCTTGGTCCACACCTGGACATTTGCATAGTTTATTTAATGTTGAGGTAGTTTTCATCAATTACCTGAAACATTCAAAGACAGACGAGGACATCATGAGTGATTCTAAGGCTTCCAGAAATAACACAGCAAAAACACAGACAGCTGATTGAGCATTGAGCCTTTACTTTTAATCTAACACCTACTTCTCTTACCTTGTTCAGTCAGACAAACAGCTTGCAGAAGCACATGGAAAACAGGCATCCTGTCTCTCTCACTCCCTACCAGCCTCTCTCGCTCACCCTCTATCCACCCTCAGATTGTTCTCCGCCCTTCCCCTCTCCTCGCCCTTCCCCTCAGCCCCAAACCCTATCTAGGTCGGGAGCTGGGGAGCTGGGAGGTGGTGTAGGTACCATGCATGCTCTGAGTCCTCCACATGCTCCCAGCACCACCAGAACTGCTGGTCGGTGGCGGAGGGGGCAGACGGGGGGAGTAGTGCACTGCAAATGGACGAGAGGAGGAGGCAGAGGAGGCTGAGAGAGAGGAAGAGGAAAGGGATGCAGCAGCAGAGACAGAAGCAGCAGAGGTAGAGGATGAGATGGAGAGGGATGATTGTGCTCTCTGATGGTGGAGAGAGGAGAGGGACAGACGCGAGGAGTGGAGGGAGTCTGATCGAGAAGATGCTGGGGAGTCAGAGTGCGTGGATGTCGACGAGGAGGGGACGCTATGCAGGGGTGGAGGAGGGGGCAGGGAGAGCGTGGGAGGAGAGGGGCTATGCAGGACTGACTGCGTGCGGCTGTGCTGGGCCTGGGATAACGAGAGGGGCATAGGCGAGGACACGGGCGCCAGGCGCGTGGAGGCTGGCTGGGGAGTGGTGTGTTGCTGGGTTTGGGAGGAGGTAGAGGAAGAGGAGGAGGGGAGACTGAGCAGAGAGTTGAGGCCTCCTGAGGTGGGGAGCGTTGCCCCAAACTGATGGGAGGACACTGAGGGAACCACGTGGTGAAATATACCTGCAAATCATACAGCAGAAATGGAGGGAGGAGGGCGAGAGAGTGGAGACAAGAGAGAGCCGTGGCAAAAAGAGCAGGGGGGGGGGACAGAGAGAGAAGCAAGGGCTGAGCCAGGTTGTGCAAAGCGCCAAGCAAGTCTGAGACAAGCACATAGAGAGCAAACAGAGTCAGTCCACTGGAAATGTAACGGAGCCAATTCAGCGCAGCCAGCGTAACGCTGCAGGAAGTGAAATGACTCTGATGCACTAACACACCCGGGGAAAACGCATGCGCAACAACGTGACCTCCATGAAATCAAACAGTCACTAACACTTTGTTATTAATGATTTCAATGAAAGTTTTGTGAAAAATGGCACATTTTCCGAGGGTGTCTCCAACTGCATCACCTAAGCGGCCAGTCCACGTCAAAGCAGGGCAGCACAGAGAGTCAGTCGAGAACACTTACCTGGCTCTTTCTCTTGCACGATTCGATATCAAGATGACCCCAAATACACAACCAAGCCCTCCCTCCAACTATTCGCTAATCCCTAGATAACATTGGCTATTAATCAGTCGTGCTCACCTCCAGCTGCTCCCCCTGCCAACCCAGCACTGGAGAAGCTTCCTAGGGCAGAGTGTCCGTTGACAAGCCGAGGGGTCCCAGTCACCGTGGATCCACCAGTCTGGGCCCCAAACAAAGATTGCAAGACTGAGGTTCCTCCAAGTGGGAACTGGGCCCCCAGGTACTGCCCCACAGATGACCCAGTGCTCGAGGAAACAGCTACAGGACTGCCTCCCACTTTCCCACTAAGAATGCCTCCTCCACTGCTGGCGGCAGCAGAAATGAAGAGGTTCTGACTGGCCAGATTGCCGCTGTTCTTCAGCTCCCAGTCACGGGAGGCCTTCTGCTTCTGGAGGGTCTGGCGCTGGTCTGAACTGCTTCCTCCTTGAGCACCACCAGCACTGCTGCTTCCACCCCTGGTGCTTGCCTCCTGACTGAGGAAAGGGTTTGGATTGCTGTAGCTGGACTCTCCATCGCTCCCTTTCCTCACCTGCTGCTGTTTGTGGTCAGAATCTGAGTCTGTGCCCCGACCCGAACCCCCGATGCCAAACGGAGAGCCCCCCTGTCTCAGGTCAGAGTTGGGTTGTTTGGGATCAGAAATGGGTGAAAAGGTGGATTTCCATTTGCTGGTAGAGGACAAAGATGACGATGAGGAGGCTTCACTGCCGGTGCTGTTACCACTGCTGCTTCCTGATTTTCTCCCTAGTGGAGGAGAAAGGAAAAAAACAAACAACCAGCTCTCATCATCTAGCAGAAAGGCAGAGAATGATGATGATTATTTCTTAATGTATTCATTTTCTACCTCGTTCACCATCTCCGAGTCTACCAGATCCATCTCTGCTCTCCAACGATATAGTGGCTATTTTTCTTTCAATTCTGCAAAAACAAACAAAAATCTAAATCAAAATAAGCAGTAACAATATTATAAATATATGAAATTTGCAACAGAGCTGACTGAGTCATATTTATAACGGTACAACTTGTGATTAAATAAAAGCACAAACAGGAAATGCTGAATCACACGGTTATTCAGCAAGGACATTTAAATGACTTCCGATCGATGAAGACGCCATCATAAGCTTCATATTACCGAGAACTGGAGCTGTCAACAGGATAACCCGAGTCCTCATCGTCTGAGCTGGGTGCTGTGGAATATCGACCCGTGCCGTTCATCTCCAGGGGGCGCTCTCTCTTCAAGATGGGAGGTTGGTCTAGGTCAGGCCCAACGGGGCTGCGGCTTGATTGCTCTGGAGAGGAGATGGCAGAGATCTCCAGAGGTTGGTTGATGTTGTTCACCTGTTGGCAAAAATAATCACAGTTTACAGTGACGCTGGCGACATCTGTGAAAAACAAAACAGACGGATGGTTACGCTGGAGCAGCAGGTTGTCTGTACAATGGCTAAAGAGGATGTGGCACTGTTATTACGCTATTATTACATTTGTTGTACAATTTCAAGGTCATGCCGCAAAGTGTGCCTCTATTGAACTTTTAAGACTGATGAATTAGCAGGAGCCTTTAAAACTGCTTATAATATTGAGTATATACTTAATATAGTACAATACTCATAATGTAACTTCAAAGAATCTCATATATGCTCTTTCGTCTCCAGTGCTCACCATGGAGTTGATATTGAGTGGCGATCCTGAGGAGTGGTTGCTGGAGCTGAGCCCAGGGAATGATCTTCTCTTTGGGGATCCACTGGCCATAACAGGCCCTGGGTTGCCACGTTTCCGTCTCCCCCGCTTGCGTCCCTCTTGAGAGCAGAGGCTGTGAGAGGAGTGCGATGACGACATATGTGTGGGTGTGTGAGCGTGCTGCGTGCTGGGCGATTGGTGATGGTGGTTTCCATGGTTACTGTGGTATCCCTGCTTGGCCGGGTTGCCAGTGTGGTGGTGGAGGCGAGATCCTCCGGCTGCGCTGCCCCCGCTGCCTGACGAAGAGGAAGACGAGGATGAAGAAGAAGAGGAGGAGAAAAAGATCCTCCTTCGCAGTTCACTCTCCTGGGCTTCTGCGTCCGATTCACCTCCTTGGCCCTCCGGTCCATCTTCTGGAACAATCCTCGGGGGTCCGTCGGCATACTGGAGCACCCCCCCAGTGCTGAGAGGGGGGCTCTGGGTCGGACCGCCTCGGCCCATTGTTAAAGTGTTGCTGTGTGGAGGTGGTGAAGAAGTGCCATTGTGGTCCTCGGGGTGCAGACCTCCATTCATCATGCTGGAGATGGATGAATATCCTAACAAAGACCACACAGTTCATGAAGCTTCACAGGAAGATCAGACTAATATAAAACAGCCTCAATTCACATATTTAACCTTAAGTAAGCAGCAGTAAGTTTTTTCCCAGAAGAATTTTTAGCAACACCCCAAGGAATATACTCACCCATTTTTAAAGCTGTAATAAAATAAAACCAGCTTTTTTTCTTTGCAAGGAGTTTATTTTGGTAATTATGCTTTATTTGTGAAATGGATGGTGGTCAGAGGGCCCGGTGGCGCCTGTGTCCGGCAGCCTCGCCTCTGTCAGTGCGCCCCAGGGCAGCTGTGGCTACAATGTAGCTTGCTATCGCCAGTGTGTGAATGTGTGTGTGAATGGGTGGATGACTGAATGTAGTGTAAAGCGCTTTGGGGTCCTATGGACTAGAAAAGCGCTATACAAATGCAGGCCATTTACCATTTACCATGGACAAAAATAATTGGAAAATGCATATTATTCCATGAAATCAGCAAAAACAGAATCATCTCCTTTACTGTATGTTGTGACCATGTTTACACTGCATAGTCAGAGGCTTACTTACTTAATCCAGGCAAAACCCTGACTATAGTAGAAACTCTGAAAGTCACAAGTGAAAAATAGGTGAAGAGTCCATCCTTACCATTGGTCTGACCGGTCTGTGACACAGGACTCGGAGTACTTCTCTGAAATCATGAATGCAGAGAATTTATCATTGTGAAATCTGAAGGTATTATAGATTTATTTTGAACTTTAGACAATTACATTAAATAATTGACTAGATAAAAACCTAACCTACACATCTTAATCTTTAAACATAATATTTTTATCGTGCAGCGTGGCTTCACGAGAGGTGGATCAGTGATGTACTATAGGAAAAGTCAGCACACTCACCAGTCTCTCAGCACGACTGGGTAGCACCACACTGGCCAGTGGGATGCTAACTGGCAATTTACTTGGGTGAACAGTGCTCAGTGGGATACTAATAGGAAGGCTTGTAATGCTGTTGTCTCCCTGAACAGATGGACTCCTCTCTTTAATGCCCTGTGTCACAGCACAAATGGGAAAATTACAGCAGTGAAAGACTCAAGGTGTGCTTGCAAATAAATCACAGTGAAAATGACACAGGGAAAGATGAAAATTCACCCTCTCTGAGCTTTTGAGATTATTCTGAGCATCACATCCGTTGGGAGAGGGGCAGTTCTGTTTGGCTCCAAGTGGAGAGTTAACACCACCCAGATCCCTAAAAAGATAAATGATGCTTTAGGATTCAATCTGCAAACAGCAGAAATAAAAATGTTCATACATGTTTGTAGTAGGAACAAACCTATGTGTGGTCAGCCCTGGACCTCTTAAGTGAGCAGAGGCAGTAGGATCCTGGTTAAGGTGCCTACGCAAGGCAATCTTGGCAGGGGAGAAGCGCGTGTAGTCAGGAAGAGCATGACAGAAGCTTTGCTGCCTCTGTCGGGCATCAGGGGTGGCAGCCACTAATTCATGGTCCGGGGATATGGGCAGGTATCGAGAAAGAAGCTCACCCTTGGAGTTAACCCGGTCAAAACAAGGTGAGCTGGTGCCGTTGATAGTAAACTCTGGGCTAACACCGTTGAGAACTGGGGCTGTAGACAGGCCGAGCTTAGAAGAGTCCACGTCTGTGGAAGCACGAGATTCCAGGTTTTTTCTATACGGGGAGCTTTCGCCAGGGCTGTAGGATTTCAGCTGAAGTAGCTCCTGCTGCCTTTGACTTTTCTCCAGCTCCACAATGCTTATCTACAAACAGACACCAGGGGGAACTATTACACAGGTAAACAGGCTATACCGATGTTAAAATATTGGAAAATGTTTGTCACAATAGCTCATACACTCTTCCTGAAAACCAGAGCAGTGAGGTGGATTAAAGGGTGGCGAGATGATAGAGGGGCACGCATCAGAAAAGAGAGACCAAAACACCTGGATATAGATCCAACAATCTGAAGATGTCAGCTGTGTACCTGCAACTCCAAGCAATGTCTCTGCTTCTCGGAGATCTGTTTGCGCAGGGCCTGCTTCTCTTTCAACAAACTCTCCAGACACAAAGAGCCCCAGTCCAGCTTCAACTCCTCACATCGAGACTTCAGCTGAAAAATAACAAGTTACTGTTACTCACTCTCTCTCTCCCATAACGCCGCCAGCCTGTTCGTCCAGCATTGCGCAAAAGTTAAACAGCAGGTACGATGACAGGTGAGAACCGCTGGAGACAATGCTGTAATTAAGGGCTGGAGGATCTGAAGCCTCACCAGCAGCAAGCTGTGGTCTCTCAGCAAAGCCATATCTCTCTCAAGCTGCTTGGTTTGCTCCTTCAGCTGAAGGTTATGGGCTGATATCTCCTTCTGGGCCTGAAGGAGGTCCTCCACAGTCAGGGCTTTTACTCCCAGCTGTTCAGCACACACAAAAAAAACAACACATTTTTATCAGTTGCTTTACTAGCGTGATGCTTAAAAGAATTGTGTCTGAGTCTTTGCAGACCTCTACTGGCTGAAGAGCTTTCCCTGCTGCAGTAATGTCAAAGTGCATTTTACATTCTAAGTGCTCATATACAGTCACACCTGATGCAGGTGTGCATCCATCCCCTGTTCCTTTTTTCTTTTTTTAAACTGAATTTTTATTATAATTTACAACATTGCAACTTGTACTTGTCAATGTTCACAAATAGGACAGTTACAGGAGTCGCAATGCAGAAATACAGATTAAAATAAGAACTGCAATTAGGAAGCACCAAATAAAACTGGGAAGCAAAACAAAACCCAAGCAAGCAAGCAAGCAAACAAACAAACAAACAACAACAACAAAAAACCCCAAAAACTTTATGTAATATTAAATAACATGTGACAATCTTAGCCATAAATGAACAAAACGAGACAGACCTATGCTAAATTATTGAAACAGTAAAGCATGTATGGGTCGCCAACGCTCAGCAAACAATTCTCTTTGAATCCGCAGAGCATATGTTATTTCCTCCATTTGGTAAATTTCTCTTACTTTATCAATCCACATATTATATGAAGGTGGGTCAAGATTCAGCCATTTAATAGTAATACACTTTAGTGCTGCTGTAAGCAAGATTCTTAAGAGATACTTTGTATTGTTTCCCCAAAACCATTTGGTAATACTCCTAAAATGGCTAGCTGTTGGTCTTTTGTTAATGGTTGTTGGAAAACTGTGTTTGTGTTGAGAACTTTAAATATGTCATTCCAAAATGAGCAGATTTTTGGGTATGACCAGAATATATGTGAGTGGGTTCCTAAATAAGTACCACAATTTCACCTGCAGGTGTCAGGATTTGTAGGCTTCGTTTTGGCAATTATCTCTGGGGTTCTAAAATATCTCATGACCACCTTCCCAGGTGTCCTCTGAGATTTGAGTGCCAGTCTCAGCTTCCCACCTTGCCTTAATATCCAAAGTTGCACTTGTATTGAAACTCATAAATGCGTTATAAAAATTGCTGATTAATTTTGGGGAGGAATTACTTTGAAATATTTTTAGAAATATTTCCTCAATGGGTGAGGGCTCCAAAACTTGCCTCCATTCTTTATGTTTTGTCAAAAAACTTCTTAGCTGCAGAAATCTATAAAAGTCAGGGGTCTCATCTGAGCTGCCCAGAAATAATTTTTCAGATTTGGAACAGCCAATCCCCCCGGCAGTTTTGACAGTTTTAATGTTTGGAACTTGATCCTTGGGCGTTTGCCTTGCCATATAGTTTGGTTTATCTAAATTATCAAATGTAGAGTTGGGAATGTTAATAGGCAGCATTTGAAAAAGGGATAGAAGTCTTGGCAATACATTCATACGTATGCTCTCAATCCGACCCAAGAAAGACAGAGGCAGGACTGTCCCTCTCTCTAAATCTTTTTTTATTTTTGCAACTATAACTTCATAATTTACTTTAAACAAGTCTGATAATGAGTGAGGAATTTGAATTCCTAAATACTTGATACCTTCGTTTGGCCATTTAAAGCCACATCGCTCCTTGAATGTTCGTGAAATGCTTCCTCCTATATCCATTGCCAATGTTTTGTCAGTATTAACTTTGTAACCAGAGAGGTAACCATATGTACTAATAATTTCTTTTAAATGAGGTAGACTGACTGCAGGATTTGAAATGTGTAAAAGTACATCGTCTGCATAGATGGACAATTTATGCTGTTGTCCATTAATTGAAAGGCCCTGAATTTAATGTTCATCTCTAATTAACTGCACCAAAGGCTCAATACTTATATCAAACAGCAGGGGTGACAGTGGGCATCCTTGTCTACACCCACGTTCCAGTGGAAATCTGGCTGATATTGTTCCATTTACCCATACAGCCGCCATTGGGTTGGAATAAATTAAGTGGATACAGATTCTTAAGTTTGGCCCAAATTTGAATCTTTCAAGTGTATGGCCCAAGTACTGCCAGGAAACCCTGTCGAATGCTTTTTGCGCATCTAGAGACAGAATCATTGTTTCTTCTTGTTTAGTCTTGTACAAGGACATTAAGTTCAACAATCTACGAACATTGTCCCCATAGTGCCTTCCTGCAATGAACCTCGTTTGATCTGGATTTATAACATGTGTAATAATTTTACTAACTCTTTTGGCTAAAATCGTGGTGACAATGTGCAAATCAGTATTAAGTAATGAGATTGGCCTGTATGATTGACAATTTGTGGGGTCCTTGCCCTCTTTATGGATTACGACAATTACTACAATTGTAGTCCCATCTCCAGAGCGCAGGGGTAAGCTTTCAGTAATAAGGGTGCGACTTTGTCCTTAAGTTTTTTATAAAATTCGTTAATAAAACCATCAGGGCCAGGACTTTTTTTTAGTTTTAAGGTTTGAAATCACCTGTAAAATTTCTTGTTCTCGAATTGGTTCATCCAACTCCTTTGCTACAGATTCTGGCAGTGTTTTTAAATTGATCTTTTCTAAGAAATCAGATAGTGTATTGTCATCTTTACATGCATCTGAATTTTTATATAATGACTCGAAAAAATTGGCAAAGCAACTTGCAATTTGATTTGGTTTAGTAATTAGGGTTTGATCTGACTTCAACTTTTGGACCATATTACAAGTTTGCTGTTTCCTGAGTCTTATTGCCAGCAATCTACTAGCCCTACTACCCTGTTCATAGTACTTTTGTTTAATGAATCTTAAATTGCCCTCAATTTTCTCGTTTATTAAACTATTAAGCTCACTACGTAACATTTGAAGATCGGAAAGCAAATTGGCCGTCTGTGCTTTTTTGTGTTGTTGCTCTAGGTGTTTTATTATGGCCTCCAATTCACACCGCCTAGCCTCTTTTCTTTTTTTCCTGGCACTTGCAAATGATATTATGCGACCTCTAATGTATGCCTTGGCGCAATCCCAGAGAGTTAAAGGCGATATCTCCGGAGTTGTGTTCAACTCCAAGTAAGTATTTAGTTCAGTATGTATGAACTCACAAAACTGGCTATCATTTAGGAGTGAGGCATTTAATCGTCAAAGTTTTAGTTTTGGTGTCAATCCTAAGTCCCATGAGAATGATAACGGTGCATGGTCAGATAGTGTAATTGGTAAGATTTCAATATTGTCAATTCTATGCTCTTCTGTTTTAGAGGTAAAATGTCTATGCAAGTAAAAAGTATAATCTCTGACGCTAGGAAACCTATTTCTCCAGACATCAATTAGTCCCAGTTCAGTTGTTAAATGTTTTAGAGCTTTGCTCATTTGCAACGCATGGCTTTTAAAACTTGGTTGTTTATCCATATAAGGTGACAAGACAAAATTAAAATACCCTCCAAGCAATAAAACACCAGAACACTTTTGAAGTACTAGATTAGAAACTGTATGTATGAAATTTGGCTCATCCTCATTAGGGGCGTAGATATTGATGAGGGAAACCAGTACTCCATCAATAGAGCCGTTGACCATAATGTACCTCCCATGTGGGTCTCTATATGTAAGTGAGTGGGGTGAAGTTTATCTGTCCGTGTACTAGGATAGCCACACCTCTTTTCCTGACAGATTTGTGAGATGAAGGAACGTCATCTCACAAATCTGTAGGAACTCTGTTTAAAAGTTTAAGATTGTCTATGAGAGCAGATTGGTAACTTAAGTGCCTATTTTTGATGCAAATTAAGCTGGAATGTGTAGAGGCTCTGAAGTAAGCGTGTTCACTCCATCGCGCTCGCTAGCGCCCCCCCCCGTTTCTTTTGACCATGTTTATCCTCAGGTGGGACAGAGACGGCATGAGTTTTAAGCTCGTCTACAATTCCCATCCGTTTGACAATCTGCAGTTTTTGAATATACATGCTATAAATGGTTGAATGAAGCATTTTCTGTAGATTTCTACTAACAAGTGTTACTGCATCAGGTGGGAGCAACATAGCATCACTTCTTACCTCATCCAGTTTAGTCTGAAAGAGACCTTTGATCTTCTCCTTGTGAGACTGACAGACCAAATGGAGCTGCTCCGCCTGCCCTGATAGGTCCCTGTGTTTTTGCTAGAGTGAGTGGAAAGCAGATATAATAATATAAATGTATATACAGAATTTAGCGAGGTGAAGATGACCTCACTATGCAGTCTGTTGAGACAATAATTACCTTCTCTTGGTCTAAAAGTTGTTGCAGGTTGGAGCGGTACTGAGGAGTCTTCATGTAGGCCATAAACTGGAGGTACTGAATTTTGATATTGTCTGTAAAAGAAGATCAAAGTTGGAGACAGAAAGAGACGGACAGTTTAACAAATATGTTTGCTGTTGATTGGAGAACTGCAGAACTGTTGTTTTGTTTGCCTCTTCACGTTTTGGCCTCATTCTATAACGTGTGCCTAGAAATATTCTGACCCTGTGCACAAAAAAAAGTGCACATGCAAAAATGACTGCTGGAAATAATGAAACATGCACACCAGCTAATTTTCTTCTTGTCACAGTTTAAAATGTGGATGAGGCTCAACATGTTTGTTCGTTTGTTTATTTCTCGGCTCATATCAGTCTCTGGTGTTAGCTGGTCACGTAAAAGAACAACAAAGATGCAATAAATGCTGACGTGCAACTGAAGTTGAGGATGTGGAGAAAGCCCACCAACGCTTTTATTTTTTATTTTTAGTGTTCTGTGGTGAAATGGCTGCCACTTATTTCTGATTACTGTTCTTTTGTCAGAGACCACAGACAAAAACAATGATGGCATCAGAGTGAAACAGGCCAGGTACCAGACTTAGAGAAAAGCTTATTTTCATTTGCACATTTACAACACAAGTATAATAATATCAAAGACCATTCATGCAAATCCTAAAAACTCAGTTTTTCAAGGTATTAAATAAAAAAGGAGAACTGTGCAAAAGCAGAGCTTCTTTAGGAGCCCTCCACTCATCCTCAGTGGCGACCTTAAAGCTAAGTTCTTATAAAGTTCTTACGAAACCTTTCCCAGTTGGACGTTCAGTATCGTGAACTATTTTGACAAGATTAACATTTCAGTACAAAATCTGGTTCTCAAAAATAAATATTCTGTACTTCCAATACACCTCTGTATGTAGGTGTGTGCGGAGGCGGAGTCATAGCTATGAGTGGATGGCTCACGATGTGAATGTGTTCACTGAAAAAGATCTCATCCAAAACTTCCTCACAACGAGAATCATCCTAACCAGCAGGCAACACACAAAAGTCAGATCAAGTTCTCTTTTATTAAGTCTTTAGTTCACAACCACAAACAGAAGTGGGGTTAAAAAGCTTTATGCTTTGTTAAATTTCCTTATAGATCAATCACACCACACTTCCCAGAACGTCTGTCCATACTGATATATAAAAGCTGTTGCTTAAATCAGTAACCTGAATTTCATATAACCATGTGTATATCTGGTATGGTGCATGTGGTTTTTCAGCATCACAGTTTTAAAAAAAAAATAATAATAATAATCAATCGGTGTCTTCATTAACTTACCTAGCAGTTTTTCCAAACCAGGGGGAGTTGGGCTCAGCAGAAGTTGACTAGGGGTATAGTGCTGGACCTTGGGAGGTAGCTGGTAGAAGGGATTCTGAGGTGGTCGGTATGCATCTGCACGCATAGTAATATTTTCATTAGTAACATCCTGTTTAGGAAATAATACAGACAGCATATTGTGTGTGTGTGTGTGTGTGTGTGTGTGTGTGTGTGTGTGTGTGTGTGTGTGTGTTAGCGCTCTTACCCTGAGGGGGTGCTGCAGAAAGGGTCTTGGCATGCAGCAAATCCAACGCACTCTGATTCTTCTTATTTTTCTTCTCAGCAGCTGGAGTAGCTTTCTTGGGTCGACCACGTTTCTTATTGTTCAGCTTGCGACCTTTGGCCAGGAGTCGCGTTCTTCTCGGTTTAGCGGAGGGCTTGACCACAGTCACCAAGCTAGGACGCTCCTCTTCACCACAGGAGTCCTGCTTTATTACACAAAGAGATAACAGTCACATAGAGAACACAGAGACCCGTCTCACAACGCTGACCAGCTTGTCCGGGTTTAATTCTCATTCTTGTACCTTGTTTGGTTCCTTGGGTTTTGTAGGCGTGGTACTATTGCTTTTACTGTCCTTCTGCTGACGTCTTCTAGCTGCCTCTTGCTCCTCCTAACAGAAGATGAATCAATTTACTAGTCTGATCCAAAAAATGTAGTAAGTACAGGGACTGTCAACACACTGAAGAAGAAGACTCACCCTGAGTTTAGGATTTTTGAGACTAGCAAAGTAGTTTTCAAGCTGGAAGATGAGAAAAAGGAAAATGTGGGTATTAGATTAAGAGTTCTTATTTACACGTTTGTAACAACACTTAAAGAATCAGGTGCATGCTCGTTTCACAGTTCTGACTGAAAAAAGCAAACGCACTAAATAATTAAATTTAGTACAATCGGTACATAAAATGTGTTTTGTGTCATCGCCAAATAAAACTTCATAAAGAGTGAGACGGAGAGGGAAAACGGCATCAGGTGGTGACAAGAAACACATCTGCATAATGAGACTGTCACAAGCATTTTCCAGGCAGCCTGCCAGTTTTCTCACTGGGATTTCAACAGGTAACCAGGGATTACTTTCACCAGTTACTGGAATGACACATATGTCACGGTAATCTAATAAGCACATGTCTGCCTGTGAAACCTCAGATTGCTTACTCTCAAGATACACTACTCATTAAGATGATACCAGCTGTTATTATGGCAGCTTATCTCTTGAGTTTAGGTTACGGTTCGTCTCTAATGGATAATTTATTTGTGTTGCTTTAGTAGTCAATTATTTTTTTATTGAGCTGACGAGATCCTCTGTTAGGATTTCACGTGTGGGCGCCTGGGACCACTTCCTCTCATTACAGAGACAAAGAGAAGCATGGGTGCTTACTATGGTGCGGTCTATGGTATGCAGGTAGTAGGAAACTGGCTTTCCAGTCCAGGAAACAGAGCCTCTGAGTGGAGAAAGCTCCACCACACGCATAATTGTGCCAATATCTGCAGGACAGAAGGGAAGAATATCACACGGAAGTCTAATTGAGCCTTAAATATTATTTATTTTTTAAATAAATTGGGTGCTTACCACTCAAGTTTCGACTGTTGATTCTGAAGTTTAAAGGTGCAAAGGGTTTGGAGGATACAATTTTCCCTCCTGGGGAAATAGAAAAACAAATGCACAAAAATCCTTTACATGTGTTGTACACACCACAGCTTTTTCAGCTCATTACTTGACGCACGCATGGTAATTTACACAATCACTTTAACTATCTATGGATGGATCTCATGAGCCAATTTTAGCTTAATTAACAATGAGAACAGCTGAAGAATTAATCACTACCAACACTACAAAAACATGATGCTTTATATAAACAAAACACTACATGCACCTGCTTTCAAACTGCTTTTCTATCTTTGATTAATTTTCTCTAGTTTTCAATAAAGGGTCTCAATTCAGTTTTGCTGGGAAATTTGAAAATACCAAATTAACAGAGAGCAGACTGTAGAGATTAAAGAAAAAGTGGACACATCTCCTCAAATGATTTTTAAAAGAATGCTCTGATCCAAACATGACATACAAAAAGTGGTGGGTCTGAATATAATGCAGAAATTGTATGTTTGTGACTTTGAAGCTGAAACATTGTTGACTCTATAGAACACAAATTCATCAATGTGCCTAACAGACCGTCAGTGCAACATAATTTATGCTCAATTTTTCTGATAATTCTGATCAGAATTTAAGTGATGATCTATACATTTTCCAATTTAAGAGCCTTGTGTATGTCTGAGTGTTTTTTAACTGAAAGATAAAATAACGCAGATGTTTTCAAGTACAAACAAGTAATGAGTAAGTAGTGTAGTTATTAGCTGAAAAGTACTAACCTTCCTTCATGTTAGCAAAGCGCTCCTTCAGCTGGTGATCTACCTCTGGACCAAAGGCAAAGTTATTCACAAAAATAATACTGGAAAACAGACAAGAGGAAATACTTCACAGTTCAATTCACAGTAAAAATGGTTACCTCAGAAAGTAATGAATGACAAAAACAGTTAAGGAGGTGATTTTCTGATTATATTTTGATTAGATTCAGATTCTAAACGGCCTTATTTGCAGAAAAGCATAAATGGAGATTTTGTCTTTCAGTCTGTCACTGTGATCAGGCTTTGTACACCACCTTGTGTTGGCGATTCTTTCTTTCCACTCTTCAGACAGAAAATCACCTCTTTCCAGCTGAAACAAATTGTACGTTTATGGAAAAAGTCCTGAACACCTGTGAATCTACAGAGCACCTGAATTTGTTTCTTATGAAAGTGCAACTTGTGTCACACAAGAACCAACTTACTGTGTACTCCCCGTGTTTCTTCCCATACCATTTCATCCATTTTTTAAACTCTTTATCCATGGTCTGAAACAAAGAACAGAAACAATATCAGAACACTTGATACGAAAATTCAAGTTTTTAAAAGTCAAAATTATGATAAAGCGAGAGTTGTGGAGGCATTTCTAGAAAGAGAGGAAGTAAACAAATAGCCCCCAGTTAAAGTTTGGATACTGGTTTCTAAAAAACGCCCTTTCAGTTACCAGAATGACTCGAGCATGAGTTTCACACTTATGATTAAAACTAAGATTTTGAGTTGAATTTCCGCCCAGTCGGGAGACATTAATTCAAAGCAGGGATGTTTATCTGAAGCTTGGGCACCACTCACCAGTCTGTTACCTGCTCTATAGTCAAACCGGCACTGATTGCAGTCAGACACTAGTCACATTATGACAGAGCTGCTGGAAGTTTGAAGACCGCTTAAGGTTCAATCCAGCTGTGTCAGACATTTACAATCTTAATTGAACTCCGTTTAGTGCTTTAGTGCAAGTGTGGAACAGGTATATGCACCTTGTTTGGTGCAGCGTGACAGGGCAAACAAATGCTAACAAAGAAACCAGTTTGAAGGCTGATCTGAAGAGGAAATAAACAGCAGGTGCTCTTTCTGCTAGACTACGCTCTAGTTTACAGCTGTCTATAGTAATCTTTGGCTTTTCACTAAAACAAATCTAAACGCAGTGATCTCGTGCTGCTGGGTCTGTATATCTGTTATGTGAAATAATGGAGTTACCTCTGCATAGGTAGCTGGAATGTCTGCTTTCTCTACACCGTAGTAGTGTTTACAGTTGGTTGCTGCTGCAACCTGCAGCACCACCTGCCCTACTCCTGCAAATATGAAACAATTTCTTTAAAAATACATAAACACACCAAAGCTGCCAGACTTGCTATTTATGCTGGAGTTCTGAATCTTACAATTTCAGACATTTTCATAGTTCTTAATTAGCATTTTTATCCAAGTAACCACAAACACACTTTACTGGAGTACTTTTAAGAAACAAAGACAAACTTCAGGTGCTTCTACTAAGTGGTTAGTATAGAATGAAATGTATAACAGCAAACTAACCACTGCCAAGGTCAACAAAGGTGTCTTCTTCCATCATTTCCATTTCATCAATAATCTGGGCCACCAGGTCGAAAGAGGTCTCTCCGTACACCTCGGGGGAGAAGGGTTCATAGTTGTTGAGCTTCTCTGGGTCGGTCACTGAGTGGTTGTACACCTGCTGTAAGATATGTCTCAGCAGCCCATTGGAAGGACGCTTGTTTAGCTTCATGGGCTGGGTTGTCCCTTTCCACTGTAAAACAGGATTTGCATCAATTACATAGCGCCCCCAGAGAGTGCACTCCATCCCTTTTTATACCTTTTAGGAGTTTTCAGACTCATTGTAAACGGTATCATCTTAACGTATTTAATTATTTTTCACAATTAACCTGCACACATGATAATGACAAAGCAAATACAGGCTTTTTGAGTGGTTTGTATAACTGTTAAAAATAAAAGACTAAAATATCCCATTTCAATAAATATGTGAAGCATTCACTTAATACTTTTGCAAAATAAATAAATAAATAAATAACAGCCTCAATTCTTTTGGGAAAGATCCCACAAGGTTGGCAAACATGTCCTTTAGATTTTTCTCTATTTTTAATGGTACAGTTATTTGAGCTTAATCCCGGTGGATGGCAAGTATCAGTGAACATTTTACGTTTCTGTCTGTTTTATGTAGTTTGGGTAAAAGCAAAGGATGCACATCCACCATTTTTTAATCGAATAATAAATTTGATAAATTGCTTCTCTGCACTTTGACACTGACATAAAAAATACATTATTGAAAAACATGTTCAGCTGCCTTTCTAAGGGGTTACGAGTCCCATGGACAGGATCCAGCTTGGCTGACTTTGACCACAAGTGCTGAGAATAAACCTTGCTCTTCTCAATGAGCAGCTCCTCCTCACAGGTGGTTTCAACTGCCAAAAAACAGCTACCATAGCCTATGTCAGTCCAAGACAGTGGCGTTGGAGTACGATGGGGGAAGAGACTACTTGGAGAGGCAGAAAAATGATTTTAAGGGCTGCCAGAAAGGCACCCTGGTCTGCATGTTGGCAAGCAAAGATAAGACAGGAAAGGCCCGGGCTAGTTAAATAGCAGAGACTAAAGTTTACTAGTTTTTACTCTAATATTCATCAGCAGCTGTAAGACCTTACACAGACACATATCATATTTATGACCAGCTGATTTAATTAGCCCTGTGTTAGCCTTAAGATGGGCTTGTGAGGGTATATACTCTGACTTCTACCTTTCAACAGCTGGAATAGGCTCCAGCTCTCGAGGAATAAGCGGTTAGGGAAATGTACTGTTGTATGGACAGATGATTTAATTAGTGCCAGGTAGACTCCAGACAATCTTTAGAAGTTCCTAAGTGATCTCTGAGAAAAGTAGCATGCACCAGAAATCAATAGCAAAAGGTCTGAATACCTGTGTAAGCGGACTATTTCTTTAATTACTGCAGTGGAATGTAGATAAGACAGCACACTAAAAAGTTCTTACCAAAATCCAATAACTGAAGGACAAAGATAGACCACCTTAGAGAACACTGGCTCTGATATCCTACTATAAATACTCAAAACCAGAATAAACAGTTAGGGAAAATGATTCACAAAGGGCACAGATTCAAAAGAACCAGGTTTGTGACTAATGTGCAGCCTTCTCCTACAAAACAGCAAGGAACTTTTCACATATGGACTCACCAGCTGATGAATGCTGTCAATGGCCCTGTTGTACTTGTCACAAAGTCTCTGCATGCTCTCAAAGCTGGGAGAGAGAGGCAACACATATAAAATATGATCTCTATAATTTAATTTAAGTAATAACAGCACATTTCTGAGTGAAATAATACAGCTCACATGGGTTAACCCTAACTATCATGACCTAATTTGTTATCATGGCTGGGTAAAATTAATCAAGTCTTTAAATCTGACTCATAAACTAACTAAACTAATTATCAGAGACATCAATCTAACCTTCTGTCTGACTCACAGACTTTGATTTTACAGATACTGATGACATTATTTTACCTCTTGGTGTCATAGTCAATGAGTACATAATTTTCCATTGCCAGTTTGAGGTCTGGGATTTCCTCACACACCCACCTATTAAATAAACAAACATAAAATCACTACTAAATCAGGTCTTTGACAGTCATGTGCATGTAGGAGTATCGCAGGACGGAAACATCGCTTACCGAATGGTCTCGATGATTTCATGAGCAGCATCATGGTGTTTATCCTTAAAAGGGAGGGAGAAAATATTACAAAAACCACACCGAGAATAAAACATTTCACTCAGCAGCACCACAAATTACAGCTTTTAGATGTCCTTAAACTCCAAACACGACCACTCAAAACCAGTCTAAACAAAACCTCAACACTGCTGAAGCCATGATAGTTTTAGAAGACTGATGTTTAAGTGGGGTGTATCTAATAAACTGACAGCTGAAAATAAAATACCCTAAACTGTCTTCACATCTGACCTTAAAATACCACAGCTCAGTAAATCATAGGTCAAAACACTAATACAATCTCATCAACTGACAATCATGGGAGGGAAGAACTCCCTTTTAGCAGAAAAAAAACTGTCAGAATCAGGCTCAGGTAGGAACAAACACCTACAGCGACCAGAGGGAGTGTGAGGGGAAAGAGAAGACAAATATTTAAACGGTAAATGGACTGAGTCTTATATGGCGCTTTTCTACGCCGGGAATACTCAAATACTAAAATAATACTCAAATATTACTCTATACAGCATGCCACATTCACCCATTCACACAAGTACTGTCATCTATGCTGTTAAGTGCTTACTACCACTCACTCATTCATACCCTTACACATGCATCAGAGAGGAACTTGGGGTTAATATCTTGCCCAAGGATATTTAGGGGGAGCCAGGGATCAAACCACCAACGTTCCGATCAGTAGATGACCTGCTCTACCTTCCTGAGTTACAGCCATTTACCACACTGAGTATTGTCGTAGTGATCATAAAAAGAAGGAGGAAGTTCCTCAGATGGTTCAAGGTCACCTGATTTAAGCTACATTAAACATTTTATGATGTAGCCTAAATCAGGCCTAATTTCAGAAGCACAGAGTCTCTGTCTCCTGAACCCAAAATGTTAGCTGGTTCCACAGTAGAAGGACATGATAGGATGAAAGGTGGTGCTACATGTAGGCAAATTGCTGACTGGCTGAAAAGCAGGCCTGAACAGGAAAAAGAGTGAATGGATTGGTACTCATATAGTGCTTTTGTACTGTGCACTTTTTACTACAAAGCTCCTTCACCCATTCCCACACACATTCATACAACATCTAATCACACTGATCGAAGCACTGGGTAAACACACGACGCCAGTATCTTGCACAAGGATGTTTCAACATGCAGCCAGAGATTGAACCACGACCCATCTTGCTGACAGATGACCTGTCCTACCTCCTGAGCCACTACTACCACCACCACTCAGTTTTTTATTGTTTGGGAGATTCTGAATGTGCATTAGGAGGATTATGTGAATGCCATCGCAGAGAAACAGGGGTATTGCTTCATCACAGTAGCTAACCGCAGGGAAAAACTCCTGATATGTTTATGGGGAAATAATCAGTTTAACAGAGTGCTTGCTGAGCCAGTATTGTACTGAGCATGCATTTTGTGTTAGTATAAACAAGATGTGTGTAAATATATGTTAAGTCTGGCGATGTGCGTATGCAATGAAATGCTGATTAGCCATGTGCACATGCTGCTTATGTTAATTAGCCACGAGGAACTGTTCTGGTTATTAATGCATGTTAGTCTGGAGAATGGTGTAATGTTTAATGTTCAGAGTTTCCTTTAACCAAATCATGATCCTGTGTGCAACCCTGCAGCAAATGCATTTATAGCCCCTAAACATATTTTATGACTCATGAGTCTTTTGCTGCATTAGCTCTGCAACGGATTGTGTAACAGACCCTGGAAAGGTCGGATTACCTGCTGAGCGACAGTGCCTGTTAAAACAGCATTTCCAAATCCAGCAGGAATGTTAATGAAACCGTTTTCTATTAAAAAAAGACATCGAGTGGAGGAAAAGTAAATATGACATGCACACTAATATGTGTGAAGGTAAGGTATAAAACTGCTGGATGGGAGTTTTGATCATTATAAATATAATTAAAGAGAAATTACAACAAAGAAGAAGAGAAAGAGATACTGTTCAGTGCTCGCAAAATCGCTAGCCCGACGTCCCGGAGCTAGCGATATCTCTGGTCGGGCGACCAAAATCTATCTCAGCCCCGCCCGTCGGGTTATCATATAGCCTGACGGGCGAGGCTGAGATAGATTTTGGTCGCCCGACAGGAGATATCGCTAGCTCCGGGACATCGGGCTAGCGATTTTGTGAGCCCTGCGTGTTGATTGCGCTCTTATTTCCTGAGGGTGTCTCCACAGCAGATGGATCTGCATGTTTGATTTGACGAGATTTTACACCAGATGCCCTTCCTGACGAAACCCCTGCCTTTGAGATCATTAGTAAGAGTACAGCAGCTTGTGACCCCTTAAGGCCGGGTTTGTGTCTCCTCCCAGGACTGAACCAGGGATATTTCACATGTAAGGCAAATGTCCTAAACATTTCACCACAGAGCCACAAAAAGACCTTATAAAGAAATTATTTGAATCTTATTACCCAGTTAACGTGTGTTTAAAATAAATTAGTATATGTATCTGTCTTAATGTACTGTTCTAAGATGAGTTTTTATGAATTTCAATAACATCTGTTTGAGATGTTAATGCAGACTGTATGTGTCTATTTGAATGTATATAGGAACTTGAAAAAAATAGCTGATGCCAATGGGAACCCTAATGAAACTGGAGAGGCTGAAGCTATGCTCATGCTACATCCCGTGTCTCTGAAAATTACCCTAAGTTGGTCAGAAGCAAACTTGAATAAGATAAAAATCTATTGTATTTTACACATGCAGGGAAATTATATTCATTAATTTTAGCAGGAGTGCCTGAGCAGCTCTCTGTGAGTAACAGGACTCAAGTTGCATCCAGCACACAGGCTGCCTAAGCCTGTTGCCTGAGCTGACCCACTGACCCACTTTCCGTCTCCTGCTTTGCCAAAGAGAGCCTCTGCTGGAGAGAAAGAAAAGAAAGAAAGTAGAAAGGGGAAAAAAAAAGAAATCTGAAGGTGAAAGAGGACAAAGGCAGGGAAAGTGAAAGCGAGAAGCGAAAAAAGAACTGTGAAAGGAAAGGGGGGCCTGAGAGAGGAGGAGAGCCTGCTATTTGTCAGCTGTTTGAGGCCTGGCACAGCAGCATGAGCTAACGGCTCTCAGCTCTCAGCCCACAGCTTCCAGCTTCCCGCTCAATACTACCCGCCAATACTACGCAAACTTCCGCCAAAACTAAAACATCCATGCGCACACCCTGAAAGAACCATGGCTAGACAGGAGATCTGTTAGCGGAGCAGTTAACCACATTATGGAGCTAACTGTTAATGATAATGAGCTACAAATCTTCCTAAAACACACATGAGCAAAGCACTGTGTAGCTCTTAATATGGAAGCTATACAGAGTATGAAGTGAGCGAATCAGATGCAGCAGGGGGAGGTCACCTGCTCACACAAAGACGGCACACAGCAACACCAGTAGAGAGCTGCTGCTAAAAATAAACGCCGTCTGAAAGCTAGACTCAGACAAAAAGAACAGAGGACCCTCCTCTCCTCCCCACTGTGGGTTCAAGTGACGCACGTACTACTCCTCCTCTCCACGCTACCTCTCCTCACAGATGCACTGTGGGTGTAGGGGTTTTACCCAAAACACTGCTCAACTATCTACACCGCAACACCCAATGAGAACAAATGACCAAAGTCAGGCTTTGTATAGAAATTTGATTTTATTTATCAAATGGCAAAAAAGTAGTAAGATGAAAGAGCCTTTTTGTTTTAGCTATATCGAGACTAATCAAGCTTATTTATACCTCCATTTATGCACATAAGAATTATGCTCAGTCACCACTGATTTTGTAACAAAGAAGACCAAACAGACATATGAGTCAGATGTCAGTATTAGCATTTACTGCCTAAGAGCACAAGAGATTAGAGCTACAAATTTCTATGACCAATCTTTATCTGTTGTGTCACATCAATTTTGTGCTGGCTAAATACTCAGATGGTGCGACAAAGAGCTGAAAAGCTTTAAAACAGCTTGGTCATTTTTTAAATGAAATTTGTTTTTGTTTTCCCAGCACAAAAGGGCCAATGAATAAAAGCTACTTTAGTCTGCTCCCTTATTCACAAGGGGCTGCCACAGCAGGTAGCTCCACATGTTTGATTTAGCAGTTGTTTTATGCCGGACACCCTTCCTGGCACAATTCTAAAGGCATCGGTGTCTCCTCCGAGAATCAAACTGGTGATCTTTCACTTATTAGGCAAATGTCTAAACCACTACAAAAAGGGCGATGAATTAGAAATAAAATAAAAACTGGTGCCAGTACTCCTCACTAGTATAGACAGCATAACAGTTGGACATAGCCACCTCGATGTCATCCACTGGTTTGTGAAGTCCTGTTATGAAGCCTCCAGCTGAGCTTTTTCACCGTCGCCATCTTGGTGTTTTGAAGCCAGATGTGACGAGCAAGAGGTGGATATGACTGATCCTTGATATGCTCATAGCTTATCATGGCCCTTTCTGACTCTAAATCATTTTTTATAAATTAGGCTCAAAATTAATCAGTTGAAACTAGACACTGAGGCCATCAGTCTGATCAGCACAGTGTGTACCGAGCTTCTCAATGAAGAAGGAACCTATTTCTTCCAATCTTTTCTGGTATTTTTGCAACCAGACTTAGCCCCCTGGTGTTACAAAGAACACAGGCTTAAGGCACTCTAGCATCACACTTTAGACAAGGCAGGCATGTCCATCTTTGATAACATCTGTGGATATCAGCCAAACTCGTAATAATGATATCAGTGGTGATACAGAATTAAACAATCCACACATTCCTACTGATCATACACCAAAAGTACTTAAAACACCAGCGTATCTCTTAAAAGTGTTGTGTGGGGCTGCTTAGTACCAATACCTAGAACCAGATGGATAAAGAGCTGCACCACACCAGAGGTGCTCTTCATATGGAAGCATTTACAGATGCACAGATGTGGGGATTTAGTGAGCAAACAGCAGATGAAAGACTAAACAAAAGAGATCAGAGAACATCTTCTTTGCATTTTTTCTATGGGCTTGGTTCACTAAAAGCACAACTTACACATCAAAAGCCTGTAACACCATGTTGTGTCTATCATACACAGATAGCAATGTGCTCGTGCTCTGTAGGTGTGATAAGCAATCCTAATGTGGTGCAATGTAGGAGTGAAGAGTAAATGGAGTGGGATCTGCTGTTACCACCAAGAAGTTCAACAAAGGGAAAACACAATGAGTTTTAAACGTGACTGGGAACACATACTTGTATGTGAATTCTAATAATACAGCATTGCTGAACAGGAGCAGGCTCATATCTTCCTCCCTGCAGACTTGACCATATGGACAAGAGAGGAAGGGAGAGGAGAGGGGAAGTGTTTCCCCCTTTGAAAACAGGAGGAGAGCACCGCATGAATGGGCTCCATATCACACAACTCCACATGCATCAGCTGTTTCTAATTCAACACATGACAGTATAAATGGCTCACGCAGTCCAATGATGTATTAAATTCCTGACATGTTTGTCCTCCTGTTTATCTTTGCAGACCATAACATAAGGAAATGGGAGGAAGGGAGGGAGGAACTGTGTTATCAGAGTCTGGCATAGTGCAAAAAGGGAGGGTCAGCTCTGTCAGGCAAAGCAGGGAGGGAGTGCCTGATTGCATCGACAAGCAACTCTGACTCAACAGAGACTGAAACGGGTGATGGGACAAACACACTATGATGGAAGTGAAATAACCAGACTGACAGACACAGTGCAGCGTGGGGGTGGGGGAAAGCGCCACAAAGAGACCCCACACACGCATTCTCATAAACTCCGCTATCTTCTCACCGCAATTACTATAAATGAGAAAGATAGTTCAAACTAACTACACACCACTGAAAAGGACCACAGAACTTACAACCGCTTCCCCTTCCGCTTATACTGAATGAGTCAACTGCAGGCACTGACGTGCTGACAGCTACATGGAAATAAAATTAAGAGAAGAGAGAGAAACGTGTCTCTACCAGGCATGATTGCTATCACTGCACAGAGCAGACTGACTGATGGGGGTGGTGGGTCCACCTCATGTACAGAGTTAACCCGAGCAAACACAAGTCAGCTGCTCTCGCTCCTAAAACTATGCTGGGATAACACACATACACACACAGAAGGCACTCTAGGAATGCCAACACTGCTATTCAGATGTGTACAGACAGGAGTTCAAAAACCTACTGTGTAACCATCGGAGATATGGTGTGGTCTATGTGAGCAGGGAAAAAATGTTCGGCCATAAAATAAGTTAGGGACAGACTAACAAAACGGTGGTCCAATTTCAAAACAACCTCCGATCAGTGGCTGTCACTGTTAGTTTTACTAGCTACGGTCAAATGTGCCGTAGGATCTAAGTGTCTACAGTATGACAAGGAAAGAACGGATTGAAATAATCCAGGTATGCCATCAGCCATGGCAGAAGGCTGATACAGCACGTCTGTCACCATCCCAACCAGTATGACCCGATTCTCCGGACGAGCGTGCCACGGCTCTTTCTGCTAGCTAGAGTTAGCGCACAGCTAACGCGGCTAACAAAGACTAAAACAAAAGGCAAAGCTTAAAAGCTACAAAAATTAAGTTTTAAAGTTTAACACTTACATATACTGGTAACGGCCATGGATACCCAGCGGGTTCTGCTCCAACCGGCGATTTGAGCTTGAGCTCCAGCTTTTCTCCCATCCTACACTTCACGGCGGCTTGGCTGTGGTGGATAGCTAGCTAGTAACTGCTCTCTGTTAGCCAGCTGGTCGGTTAGCGAGCGACTTACAACGAGAACATTTTGTAAGAAAAACGTTCAAACGCGTAAAATTAAAAAAGACGTCGACGCTGGTTACGTGGCAGATACACTCACGATGCGTTCAAGTGTATAACTGGATATGACTCGCTGTTCTATTTTAAATAAAATGCCTTTTTTATGCCCACTGGCAATAACACCGATTCTGTATCGCCGCCATCTTGCCCGGCATGAATACTTATGGCAAGGGGCCACTGGCAGCGGAGGGGACGCAGACGTCACTGAGCCAGCTCACGAGCAAGCCACCCCTTCCCAAGCTGCGTGAGAACACCGATAACATCACGACTTTTTTCCATATTAACGCAGGAATATTTACGCAGAGCCGGCAGATACATGATAAATGATAACCGTTCGTTTTAATATAAACGCTAAAAACACATTGACTCTGATTCTCAACATAATACACTTTTATTTACCCATAAATTATAAATATAAATTATAGCTTTAAGTAAATTAAATATAACGCAAATAACAATGCAACGAGTACTAATAAACACATTCTGTTTTACACAGCATAATTAAGGACACGTTTTTATGTACTAGGTGTTGTTATAGAAAGTTTATATACAAATTCAATATAAAACATTGGAAATTAGACCTAAATATTATTTTCCCAGCCTTTAATTCAATTCAATTCAATTTTATTTATACAGCGCCAAATCACAACAACAGTCGCCTCAAGGCGCTTTATATTGTAAGATAGCTCCTACAATAACACAGACAGAGAAAAATTCAACAGCCATGTGACCCCGTATGAGCAAGCACTGGGGCACAGTGGGAAGGAAAAACCTCCCTTTTAACCGGAAGAAGCTGGCTCTTACACATATCCCTGAGGTACACCAACTGTAAAATGCAGTTTGCTCATTTCCTAAGAACAGCTAGAAATGTGTAGGGTTGTATTTTGGAATCTGTATCGAACTCAAAGAGCTTTCCAACTGTTTCTCTGTCTATACTCGGGGACTCTGTCACCCAGTGCTGATGTTTTGGAATTTTAATTAGGTCTTTACTACTACTACTACTACTACTACTACTACTACTACTAACAATAATAATAATAATAATAATAATAATAATAACTTTTCTTTTGTTATCATTTGAGCACAGATCTGTAGCTGACTATAGGCAGGAACAGAGATGTGCAAACACATGCATTATCAGCAGCCCAGAGTCTGGATCAAAGGCCTAAATGAATAACTCTGTCAGTACAATATTTACCAAAGATTGCTGTTGTTCACAAGACTTACAGCTTTGCCCAGGAGCCTCAAACATCTGCATGTAAAGACTTTAAACGGCCCAAGGAATTTCATTTATATTTTAAAACTAGTAAGTCGGTTGGCTGGAAAACAGTTTTATAGAACAAAACCAGCTGTTTGATATGTCCATCCATCCATCCATCCATCGTCATCCGCTTTGTCCGGGGTCGGGTCGCGGGGGCAGCAGTTTGATATGTATGATGGAAATACAGAAATATTTCTTAAGGAAGTTCTTCAGTATTTATGCAGGCAAGTATCTACCTACCTATGGCTCTTTATAAAACAGTTGTTTATACACTTCTGTGCACTTGCAAAACAGTTAAACATGGATATGATGTGTAAGAAACTGGGCACATCTCATTCAAAATTGATGATGTAGTTGGGGAGCTAATTATAGTAAAATTGTTTTTTACTTTATGTGTGACGTGTCCACAGTGAGTGATGATTTATAATGGACTGTGGTTGAGGAAGGGTTGGGTTACTACCCGGTCAAGTCACCATATAATTTTCATAATCTGTGTGCCTGTCTTTTTGTTCCCATGCAGCACAATGTTTGCTGAAAAACAATACAATGCACTGAAGGATGTGCAGAAGCATCTATGCTACTGTAGTCATGTGGACTGAGGGCGGTTATGGGAGAGACATTTATACTTTCATGGGTTATGTTGCTGTAGTTTTTATTGAATGAGAAATTACATGTGAGGATAAGTGGATGAGCGAGTACACAGTTTAAACAATAGATAGAGCGAAGAGAGAAATAACCTCAGCTCATTCACAGAAAAGTTGTCTGATTCAGCTCAACAGAGCCAGCATTGTTTACAAGAAGGTTCAGTCATCTGTAGCCTGAATGTGAACCGAGACTGTAGTTCAAATTTCTGGCCTTTAGCCACAAAACTGCACCGTACCAGATAGACTGACAGGCTATGGTATCTTGATTTTGAAAGCATTAGATCCAAGAAAAATAGCTATGACTGGTGAAGTGGGATGTTTCTATTATACTCAAAGAAGTCATATATTACCACATAAATGGGAATGTGTCTGCCTGGTGCTAGACGTCTCTTTTGCCAACTGATGATGAGGATGCAGCATCTGGATGGAGATCAGCAATGAAGAAAGAAACCTCCTGATATTAGAAATGACCCTGAAGGTCAGTCAGGCAGTCGATATGAAGCAGAAACCCGTCCATAATAGAGGAGAAGACGCAGCAAGCTGCCAGTTTGGCTGGTGCTGCAGAATGAATAAGAGATAATCAAGATGGTAAACTCCCAGGTCAAAGAGCACTCAAGAGAGTATTATGGGGAAACTAGCTTTC